CACTGGCCCCGGCCTCAGCCCCAGCTCCGCAAGTCCCTTCTGCTGCAGCCCCAGTGCCACACCTGGCCTTCCCCGCCCCCGTCGTCCTGTATTTCTCTTTATTCCTCCCCACTCTCTTCCTTTTCTCCACCTTATTGTCCCTGAACCTCAATAAAATGTAAGTTATTACCCACTGTGGAATGTACAATTTGCACCGTGCCAGCTCCCCAGGCCGTGCCCTCCCCACCCCACTCTCCCTGCACCATGGCTCCAATGCCCGGGACCTGCATCCTCTGCAGAGGACACGGGCACCTCCCCAGGGGCAGAGCCAACGTTCCCCGTTTGGACAAACAGCACCACACGCTGGGAAGGCCAAGGTAAGCAAATAACAGGGCGACGCTGCATGGCTGGGGCAGTGCCTCCTCATGCTCAGGGATGCAGACTCTGAGGTCACAGAACGGACCTGCCGGGGGTGCTGTCCCCGCAGCCTCAGTGTCCTCATCTGTGCAATGGGAAGGCAGCCCTGCCACAGCCATCACCACATCAGGGAATGCGATGTTCTGCACCTCCCTGCACACAATGGGAGCTCACAGCTTCAGTTTGAAGTGTGCACAGGGAGTGGGTGAGAGATTCTTAACTGAGGGCACAAGATCAGGTCCAGCATCATAAACACACAGAAGCAGTCACAGGCTCTGGCCCTGTGCTCAACAATGGGTCACTGGTAACTAAAGTAGAGCAAGGATTTGCCTACTGCACAGGAGACTGTGGGGCCTTGTCCAGGACCCCATGTAACCCAGACTGCCTGGTGTGCAGGAGACATGGGTGGTCTTGGCTGAGAAGATGGAGACACAGAGGATGTCCCAAGGAGAGTGACCATGTTCCACTGGAACAGGCTGTGTTTCCATAGGGAAGTGCACCCCAGGCTTTCATAATCTTCCACTGCCGTGTGGTTCTGGCTTACAGATGAAGAACCTCGCAGTCCCTGAGAGCCCACAGGTAGAACGCAGTGATACCGATGAACTGAGGGACACTGTTGACCTCTGGGGACCAGCTGCCCTGCCTACAGGTGGACTGAAATGGGTCTAACAGACATGTGTGCACCAGCAAGAGCTCTGTCACCCAGGATTTCCCTCTCCCCAGTGCGCCAGCCTCAAGTTCACATAGCAGAACCAGGAAGACCGACATCTGGACCTGGAAAGTCTTCTGTATTTCCGTGGTGATCTAGAGGTTGTTGTGCACATGGGGGCCTGGGCTACATCAGTAAACAAAGAGAAGTTCCTTTCTGTCTACTCACCCCTGATCAGGTGTGAAGACTTGCGCATCTGCGCAGGAGACATGAGAAGGCCCAGAGAAGGGAGCATCCTGGGCAGACTTACAAACACAGCAAATGATGCTCTAAATACCTAATGGCCCAGCAGAAAATGAGCTTCCAGGCCTCTCATTTACATGTTCACCTCATCCACTCCAAAACATAACTCAAAATAAAGCATCTAAGCATAAATGTTAAAAGTCAAAAATATAAATCACTTAGAAGAAAACTTACAAAATCTTGACAATTTTGAGTGACCCGCAGATTTTTGATACATTATCACAACTATGATACATAATAAAAAGATAAACACTAATTTCTCCAAATCGCAAACACTTCTGATTCAAGAAACACATTATCAAAGTAAAAAAAGATCACACGATTCAGACAAAATATTTTAAAAGCATGTATCTGATAAGATCCTCTGTCCACAAAATATAAGGAACACTTACAATTGAACAATACGAAAATGAACAACCCAAACCACCATGCGTCAAATATTTGAATATGCATTTCTTCTAAGATAAGCACAGTAAAAGTTGCCCAACATCTTCGGGCCCCAGACAAAAGCAAATGAAAGCCACAATGTGACACCAACTCTCCCCCACTTGAGTGGCAGGAGTTTAAACAATGGGGAGGAACCAGAGTTGTAAAGGATATGGACAAACAGACCTCACCCATTGATGCTGAGAATGTGAAATGGTGCAGCCACTGTACAAATCAAGCTGGTTGTCCAAATGGAGATATGAAGAGTTACTGTCAGACTCAGCACCTAGCTCATACTCAAGATAAATGAAAATACTTGTCCCTAAAAAAAGTGTCAAGGTAGACATAGGTTGTTATCTGTTAATAACAACTTTGAATGTAAATTGGTTAAATTCCCCACTTAAAGGATAAAGACCGGCTGAGTGGATAAAGACCAACACTCAATATACTGCCTGGAAGAAACTCATTTCAGACACACATTACATCAGGATAAAAGAATCTGTCAGAAAGAGCATCTAACAACTGGAAATACATACATGCACCTGAAAACAACACCACCTAAGCATGGAATACAAACAATATTGGTTCTAAAGGGAGGTAGAGACCCCACAACAATAGGAGCTGGGGACTTCCACATCCCACCTGTCAATGGACAGATCATCTAGACAGACAACCAGCAAAGAAGCACTAGACTTAAGAAGCACTACACACCAAATGGACTTAACATTTGTGGAACGCTGCAGAATATGCATTCTTCCCCTCAGCACGTGGAACATTCTCCAGAAGAGACCCTACATTCGCCCACAAAACAAGCCTCAACTCATTTTAAAAAATCAAAATCACCTTTTCGCAGGCCATAATGGAATAAAATATTAGTAATCAACCAGAGGAATTGTAGATATCAGCCAAATGCATGGAAATCAAACACCATGTTCCTGTCCAATCAATGGATCCCTTTTACCACTCTCCTCAACACACAACTGGGAGTGCTACCCAGTACAATTTAGCAAGAGAAAAAAAAAAATAACAGCATCAATTTGGAAACAACAAAGTCAAATAGTCCTTACTTGCAATCTATATGATCTTATATATAGGAAAATTTAAAACTTCATCAAAGAGTTAAAAGAATTCAATAAAAATGCAGGATACAGGATCAGCTTACAAAAACCAACAGCATTTCAATACCCTAGGAACAAATCAGATGAAAAGAGATCAAGAAGGCAACCCAGTGGTAGAACAAGGAGTTGATAGAAATTGAAGAGATGACTAAAAAGTGCAAAGTCATCCCATGGTCATGCATTTGAAGAACTAGAATGTTTAAATGTCCAACTGCTACAGACACAATGCAATTCCTCTCACAATACCAATGACATTCTTCAAAGAATAAGAGAAAGTATTTGCAAGTTGTTCCCCTGATGAGATTAAGGAACTCAACCCAAAGGTCCCCCCACAAAAATGCAATTAAAAATGAGCTAATTATCTCAGTAGATACATGTCAGAAGAAGATATACAAATGGCCAAAAACTACATGAAATAATGCTCAATCATATTAATCATCAGGGAATTGGAACTCAAAACCTCAATGAAAGATTCTCTCTCCCAGGTCTGACCGGAAAAAAAGACAATGAACAAATTCAAGGACATGGAGAAAGGGGAATTCTCACACACTCTGGACAGGAATGTCCATCAATGCAGCCCTTGTGGCAAACAGTATGGTGTTTCCCCAAAACACTAGAAATAGAACTGCCATATGATCCAGCAATCTGTCTGTGCGTATACATCCAAAGGAAAGGAAACCAAATGTTGACAACATAGTTGCACGCCACGTTTACTGCAGCACTGTTCATGAAAGCCAAGGTATGGAGTCAACCTAGACACTCTATTGGTAGATGAATTGATAAAGAACACCTGGTTACATATGCATAATGGAATAATACTCAGCCATAAAAAAGAACATAGCCATGTCATCTGCAGCAACATCCATGAGCCTGGAAGGTATTGTGGGTTTTTCTGTTTGTGTATGGTTTTTTTCGGAGGGAGAAGGATTTTATTTATTTGAGAAGTTGAGTTCCAGACAGAGGGAAAGACAGACAATGGTCTCCCATACACTGGTTCACTCCTTAAATGGGTACAAAGCCAGAGCTGAGCCGATCTAAAGCCAGGAGACAGAAGCCTCTTTCGTGTCTCCCAGGTGGGTGCAGGAGTCCAAACACTTGGGCCATTCTCCACTGCTTTTGCAGCAGAGAGCTGGATTGGAAGAAGAACAGCTGGGGCATGAACCAGCACCCATTTGGCATGCCAGCACCACATGGGGAGGGTTAGCCCACTACATCACAGTGCTGGCTCCAGGGAGGACACTGTATTGGTTAAACAAGTCAATCGCAGGAGGAAAACTACTGCATGTTCCCATTTACGTATGAAATCCTAAAAAGTTGATCTCACAGAAGTAGGCAAATAGAACAGAGTTTACCAGAGGTTGGAAAGGGGAGGGGGGAGTGGAGGGAGGATGGTGGATGGGTACAGAGCACAGTTCACTGTGAAGAGCAATGTCAAATGTTCTGCCACACCGTAAGGTAACCAATGGAAAGGTAATTAATTATGTGCCTCACAATAGCTAGTAGAGGAGATTCTGGATGTTCCCAACACAAATGATGAGTATGTTTCAGGTGACAGATATCTTAATTAACCTGATCAGATCATTATATACCATATATTTACATTGAAATACCACACTGTACCCCATAAACATGTACAATTATATGTGTCAATTATGAATAACCATACAGATATTCTTTTTCAAAAATGAGTCTAGATGCTCCTAACTGCATCATTCATAATAACCAGCAAGCAGAAGCCATCAAGTGGCCAGCAACTGATGTACGAATAAACATATGGTCTCTCCTCAATATAGACAACTCTCCACCCCACAGAAGGGCATACTGTTCTAACACTCCCTATCCAACTCCGGAGCCCTGAAGACATGTGGCTCTGGGAAGGTAGAGAGAGGCAAAGGCCTCATATAGCATGACACCATCAACACACATGGGACATTTGTGAAAGTGAGCAGACACGTGTCTCAAGGGCCTGGAGGCGGGACTGAGAACTGAGTGCCAATAGGCAGGAGGTTCTTTAAGTGTTTGGGGAATGTTCCACAGCTACACTGTGCTGATGGCTACACAACCTATACATATATTAAAGTCACTGACATGGACACAAAAGGACATACATCATGTTCTGTCAATTGTAGGTCAAGAAACCTGTCCACAGAAAGTGATCAGAGTGATCCAGAAGCGACTGTTCCTTCACTTGTGTGGGCACCATGCCAGTTGACCACCCTAGGGCCAGAAGGATGCTGATGCTGAGGTCAAGGTCTTCTTGGAGACTGGAAGAGGATCTCACAGCACAGAGCCTGGCAGAGGGGAGAGACAGAGCAGTATCTTCACCATCCAGGGCAGTTAACATGAGGTCTGGATTCAGTGACAGTCCCTGACTTACAGCCCAGAGGCCAAATCCTGCTCTGGGACACTAGCCTCTTCACTGCTTAGGCTTTGTGCCTGGGGAGCCTCAACTGCAACACAGAACCTATACCACTATTGGGAAGAACAAATTTATTAAATGAAATGCACCTAGAAGAAAACATGGTACCAATCAGCACAGAACATACTCATCAATGCTGTGGGTTATTCATACTGGTTTCAAAAAAGAAATGAAGGGACCGGTGCTGTGGCATAGCGGGTAAAGCCTCCGTCAGCAATACCAGCTTCCCAGATGAGTGCTGGTGTAGTCCCAGCTGCTCCTCTACCAATCTAGCTCTCACCTGTGGTCCAGGAAAGCAGTAAAAGATGGCACAAGTCCTTGGGCTCCTGCACCCTTGTGGCTGACCTGGAGGAAGCTCCTGGATCTTGGCTTTGGATCAGCACAGCCATGGCCATTGTGGCCATCTGGGGAGTGAACCAGTGGATGGACAACTACTTTCTCTCTGCCTAACCTTCTCTGTGTACTTCTGACTTTAAAATAAATAAATAAATCTGTGAAAAGTAAAGAAAACAGAAGACAAACTGAAATGTAAGATCTGAGCCTTTGAAACAATTAGAAGAAAACACAGGGGAACTGCTTCCGGACAGTGCCATGGGCAAGGATTTCTTAGATCAGACCCCAAGAGCATAGGAAACAAAGCCAACCAGCAGACAAATGGGATTTCACCAAATTAAACAGCTTTTGTACAGCAAAGAAACAATGTCTACAAGCCATCCATCTGACATAGCTGTTAGTAAAGTCAACATAAAAACAACTAAACAGCAAAAACAAGAAACAACAAATAAGTCAGACTTAAGAGTCTCAGTTAGAAATAGACATTTCTTTTTTTAAAAAAAAAAAAGATCTATATATTTACTTGCAAATCAGAGTTACACAGAGAGGGGAGAGGCAGAGAAAGAAAGGACTCCCATCCGATGGTTCACTCCCCAGTTGGTAGCGACAGCCGGGGCTGCGCCGATCCGAAGCCAGGAGCTAGGAGCTTCCTCTGGGTCCCCTATGTGGGTGCAGGAACCCAAGGAACTAGGCCATCCTCTACAGCTTTCCCACACCATAGCATATAGCTGGATCAGAAATGGAAAGCCAGGTCTCGAACCAGCGCCCACATGGGATGCCAGCACTTTAGGCCAGGATATCAACTCGCTGCGCCACAGTGCTGGCCTCGGAAATAGACATTCCTTAAAGTAAGACATGTCAGTGGTTCTCCTGTTCCACAGCACTCAAGGGAACTACAGATAATGTGAAATACGGGACAAAAGTGCTCTTCACTGATCTCAGAGAGATACAAAGCAAAACCACAATAGGATACCAAAGGAATGAACGATAACTAGTGAGGATGTGTGTGGAGGGGAGGGAACACTTGGCACTCTGTGGGTGGGAATGTAGATGTGGTAAAGAGTAAGGAAGTTGCTCAATAAACAGAAACTAGACCTACCATCCACTCCAGCAACCCTACTGCCAGTGTACAATAAAGGGGAAGGCAGTCAGTCTGGGGAAGAGAGATCTGTGCCCCCAGTTTTACTGCAGTCCTGTTCCCAGTAGCTAAGGAATGCAAACAACCTACACATCCATCCACCATGGATGGAAAAAGAAAAAAAGGGGTACGTGTACACATAGGAATACTACTCGGCTATAAAAAAGGTTGAAATCTTGTCATTTGTGGTACCATGGGAGGATCTGGAAATCACTGGGTTAAGTGAAATCAACCAAGCACAGAAAGACAAACACCACATGACCTCACTCACATGTGGAATCTGCAAAGTGGTGATGCCCTGGAGGCTCAGGGCACAACGGCAGTTGTCAGAGGCCAGGAGGAAGGGACGAGGGCAGTGGACAGAGATGGGCTAGTGTGAGTCACAGCTGATGGAGCATGAGTCTCTGTGCTTCTGCTGCATTGGAGAGGACAAGGCTGATGCCCTGTGTATCTCCCTAGGAATGCAGACACAGCCCTGCAGTGTGGCGTTTGTTTCCCCGCAGGAACAAGCCCAGTGAACTCAGGGGGACAGAGGAGGTAGAGGTGGGGAGCAAGGGCAGGTCAGGAGCTACAGGCTCAAGGTCTCTCCTGAGGTTACATGGTGCCATCTGGTGTGCTGCCGTCTCAGTTCCTTGTGGCTGTAGGGCTGCATCCCTGTTTTATGCCTGGCCTGGGTGGTTTGCTCGGATGCTCCTGTGGGGTGAGCTCATGTACGGTCAGGTTCTTAATCAAGTCCAGGGGAGTGTCAGGTCCCCTCAGGTCCTGCCTGCCTCACTCAGTGTCACACACATCGTCTCCCTTTACACTGACACAGTCGCTGATTCAGGGCCCTCCACCACAGCTGCAGAGTCTGTCCCACGATGGGATACCACAGGAGAATGACACTGTGGGGTGAGACCCAGGATCAGGTGTCACCCGTGCGGCATGGGAAGGTATCCTAGGGTAGGGGGCTGGGCAGTAAGAGCCAGGAGGAGAGCAGGTCAGGCTGTCCAGGGAGAAGCAGAAGGGGGCCCCCAGCAGGCAGGCTGTGCTGCCAAGGAGCAGGGAGCCTGGACAGAGACACCTCCCAGGATGCAAAATAGCTCAGCCCCTCTCAGACTGCCATCAAGAAGATCCAAAGGTGTGCCCTCCAGTCAGGGAGCCACAACGTGAGACCTCAAGGCTCAGTAGGCAGAGAAATGAGGCTGGAGCAGAAGTGACAGTGGCGAAAGATCCGCAGACCCAAGGCCTGGACAGGAGTCTCCAGGATGCACGGCAGACCCATGCCAGCGAGGAGATGTCCCCAGATGTCACTATCCCAGCACCTGCGGGCCAGACCTGATACAACACCTGTTTGCTTCCTTTAATCGAGCAGAGTCCACAAAACACAGAATTTTAGAGCATGCAGCTCAGCTACATTAACAACATTCCCATGGCTGGACAACCCTCACCATCCTGTCTCAATCAGGGTCCCAGACTGCCTTCCTTGGCCTGTGCACTACTCAGCCTGCTGTCTGCTCCCACTGATCCCGATGAGCCGTACAAGCTGAGGCAGGACACAGGCAGCTGGGCCTGGGTGTCAGGGCATTCGTATGTCAACAGGACAGCACGGAGCCCGCTCGCAACCCTATGTGCCACTCTGGATGTCCGGTACACTCAGGCGCTGCTGAATGGAGACTCCGCCTTTCAGTTTGGTTTGTCTTTGCCTTTTTCTTAATAAAACTGCAAACCTCCAAATAATAAGAAAAAATACAGTCAAAGAAATGTCTACTTATTTTCACCTACTTGAAAGGTAGAGAGAGAGACACACGGAGAGAAGTCTCCCATTAACTGGTGCACTTCCCAAATGCACACAACCACCAAGACAGGACCAGGTGAAGCCAGGAGCCAGAAACTCCATCTGCGTCTCCCATGTGGGTATCAGAGGCCCAGGGACTCAAGTCACCGAATGCTCCCTCTCAGTGCATCCAAGAGGAGCTGGATCAGAAGCAGGGCAGCCAGGTCTTCACCTGGCACCCAGATAAGAAATGGGGTTGCCCCAAGGGGAGGCTTAACCCTCTGTTCCTTGACAGCCTCCAATTTAGTTCGTATTCTGACCAAGAATTAGAAACTATTAGGTGCACTGGTCAAATGAGCTTCCACTTTACTTTTTTCCTATGGGTACTATTTCTTTTAAAGATTTATTTGGTTTATTTCATAGAGTTATGAAGAGATGCAGAGGCCAAGAGAGAGAGGTCATCCCACTAGGTCGCTCCCTAAATGACTGCAAAAGCCAGAGCTGAGCCAACATGAAGCCAGGATCCAGGAGCTGCTTCCAGATTTCCCTCATGGGTGCAGGGGCCCAACGACTTCTGCCATCCTCGGCTGCCTGTCACAGGCACATTAGCAGGGAGCTGGACTCGAAGTGCAGCACCCATATGGGATGCAGGCACTGCAGCCCAGGGATTTAACCCTTTGAGCCACAGTGCAGGCCCCATCTATGAGAATGTTAACCATATAAGTTGCAACATAGATTCTAAATATTAACTGCATACAAATACACAATGCTTAACTTGGGCACTTTCAAATCTATTTCTATAAAAATACATGCCCCCTTTATAAACAGGTTCCCCATTACAGAGATGAAAACTCACTTCATTTCTATATATGTAAGCAGTTTAAGAATACTGCTGAGGATCAGGTCATTTTTTTTCCCCAAAAATGTTCTAAAGATGTCCACAGGACAAAAGAGGATTCACTACATGCCTGCTGACTTAACCCTTGGTTCACTGCCCTCCTTCACAGGTATGAGATCACCCTGGATAATCTTCCCAGGGAATCAAAAATGCAATCTGTCCTCTCGTGCTATCAGAACAACCGTGGAAAGCACACTGGGGACACTCAACCAACACCAGTGCTCACGTGACTGAGGCAGTCGTCTTGGACAACAAAGAAAGACTTCCATCCAGGATCCAGTAAAAGCAGGAGGCGGGGAGATGAAGAAGTTCTGGAAACGGGGCCCGTGTTGTGGTGCACTGGATAAAGCCACAGCCTGCAAACCCTCACATCCCATGTGGGCACCGGTTCCTGTCCTGGCTACTCCAATTCCAATCCAGATCCCTGCAAGTGGTCTGCAAAAAGCAGAGGAAGATGGCCCAAGTACCTGTGCCCCTGCAACACACACAGGGTACTGGGCAGAAGTATCTGGCTTCAGCTTGGACCAGGGAAGCCACTGCCACCATCTTGGGAGTGAACCAACAGATGGAAGATATTCTCTCTGTCTCTGTCTTTTCTGGAACTGCGACTTTCAAAATCATAAATAAATCTTGTTATTTTAAAGATTTAGAAATTCTAGAGAAGCAGATAAGCCTCAGATGGCAGATTTCCCATGCAGGGTTCTCAACACAACAAAAGCATATGGAAGAATCACAGAGCGCAAGGGCAGCGCAGCCATGTTCTTGTCAGCCCTTCAGGGAGAACCCTATGAGAGGAAGTCACGCATCGCCAACAGGATGCACACCCGGCACTCACCCCCTGTCCCTCCTACACACCCAGCCCTGCTCCTCAGCCAGCTCCCTCCATGGCCTAGCTCCTCCAAGTGTACCCTGTACTTTGGTTAATATCGACACTTGTCCTTCCCTAAGTAATACAGCAGGTGGACGAAGACCAAAAACTTGAGTCTGTTCCTCCCAGTCATTCTCTCCACAAACTCTGCACATTCAGGTCATTCTCATGCCTCCATGTCCAGACTACAGATGCCAAATGGCCCACAGGACAACAGCAAGAGACTCAGGAGGCAGCAGCCCTGAGTGTCCACACATGAGACACAGCTCCTGATCCGCTGGGGGCTTGCTCTCTACAGGAACTGAGCCTGGTGGCCCAGGGCCCACAAGTTATTCGGTGGTGACCCCCAAATCTCCTGCCGTGGGCTGCAGACACAGACCGCAGTGGAGACTGGGGAGTGACTGTCCTGGTGAGACTGGAAAGAGTCTGAGGTCTGAAGGAGGAAGATTCTGAGCCAAGGCTCCCAAGTGAAGCCCTGCTCCCCACTCACACACACCTGACCAGCGTCCTAATGCACTCACAGCCAGCTGACCCCTGCTCAGACTCCCAGCATGCTGGGTGGACTCCCTTCAGCTCAGCTCCCAAGACCACCACTCTCTGGCCCAGTGTTCCTACCCAGCCTGACTGCTTCCCCCATGAGTGCTCCCACCCTTCAGCAGAGATCCCTCCTCTTCCTCTCCCCAACACCGGGCTTGCTGTCCCCAGAGGCCCTGCCACCTCCTCTGCCTCACTCGGGCAAAACACCCACAGCAAACACCAGCACAGCCCTTAGCATGGCCTGGCCCTGAGGCAAGCACTCACCCAGAAATGCAACAGACTCTAATGAAGTGCTATGGATACCACTGAGGAGAATCCCACAGGACTCCCAAAAATGAGTCACAGATCACTGCCCACCCAATGATTAAAAGGCTCTGGACTGTGGAGAAAGCCACTGGTAGCCCCAATAGAGAGTTATAGCTCACTGCTGCCCACAAACAAGCAAAAATAGGAAATAAAAATGGAGTCACTTATGCTAAGCCAGAAGCTGATGACATCACTTATGTCAAGCTCAGCGCTTGCCAGAAAGATGCTCCTCATCAGACTGAACAGACATCCCTGGGCAGTCTGATAACCTGTACGCAACAGACGACAACCTCAAGTTACCTTCCTACTCGCACAGGGATTGGCTGCACCCCAGGAATACTGCAGATACACCCTGTCCTAAACAACAGATTGGTGGCACCCCGGGAAACTCCCAGAGGGAGCACAACTGATTGGTGACACCCTACCGCTCCTGGAGACTCTCCCTTCAAAATGACAAGGATAAAAGGATCATGGTCCCGGTGTCTGTGAACCTCTGGATCTTCACACATTCAGAGCTGAAGAGGCAGCCTGTTACACATGGATCTGTAATGGCACAAGATGACAACCGATCAAGGGCCCAGTGCTGGTGAACCTCTGGATCTCCTTACACATGGAGCTTAAGAGGCAGCTCACTAGCCCCCTTGCTAAGCAACACACGGTGACTACAGGACCAAACTCCAGTGGAGCCACTCCCTCACCTGGACCCCTTATCAGCCTGTTGCCTGGCCTGACCACACAGCTGGACCAGACCTCTCAGCAGGGGACCTCTCCAACTCCTTACCTTGTCATTCCCCTGGGAACTCCGGGCTTCTGCTCAGAGTGACAGCCATCCCACTACTGCATGCCTGTAAGTGACTGTTCTGAGATCCATCTCTCCGAGTGGTAATGAGACTCTGGACTCTGGACTTTGAACTTTCACTTCTTGGGAATGTGATAGGAACCTTAAGAACGCAGCATTTATAATGATATTAGCCATATGTAATAGGAAGGAATGTGCCTCGACCCTATGATTAAGAATGTCTTCTGCTTCGCTGTACTTACATTATTACAGTTGGACTGCCTTTGAGATTGCTTTGATGCCAGGTGTGTGTTATGATGTGTGGAGTAATGAACATAACTACAGAGATTGGTTTGCAGTGGGAAAGCCCTAGTGTGAATTGGAGTGAGCAATAAAAAGCCTTTCATTGGGAAGACAGTGTCGTGTCCGTGTGTTCCTTCTTCCCTATGCTCCGACAATGCACCCTTGAGCCCTGTCGAAATGCGTGACAGCAAACACTCACAACGTACCACCACCACTGCTAAACTCGGGAGACACCCACACTGTACATTCACTCCATTACAATTAGTAACACCTCTACAGCACACCCTACCCCACAGGTCCCACAACTCTCAGGTGGACGCGGCTCCCCCACTACTGCAAAAACCATCTCCACAAGCCACTGCCACTTCTACAGATTCCTCCAAGTAACTCTAAAAGTAAGGCAGTGCTATCCAACTCTGCCAGACCACTCTTCCAACTCCTGGACCCTCAGCTCCAGGGCAATCTCTAGGAATTCACCCTACTCAGATACCCTTTTTTATCCTCTGTTCACATCTCTCACTTTAAAGCACTGTACCCCGTTGCTATCTTTTGTTGTGATATTAGCCCTAGACTTTGTCAGAAACCAGCCAAACCGAATGGACCCATAGCAGAAGACTTCTCTCGGCACTCTCTTATCTCTTCTGGGTTGCATGCTTTACTACGGTCTGCTGCTTCTAACCTGCTGCCCTTTTTGTGGTCCCCAAATCTATATATCTCTCACATCCTCCCAAAGCCTCTACACAGCTCTCATCAATGCTTCCTCTCATCTCTTCTCTGAACATAACCCCACTATCGCTTCATGCGGGATCTGTACACACTCTTCCCACTTCCCAGCCAATCTGGACAAAGGCCACAGGACTGAAGGGATACCCTGTACTTTCCCCAAAACAGGAAGAATTCAACCAACCTTATTTACCTATCAAAGGCATGTTCTGTGCTTTGCTGACAGGTCAAGCCCTTAAATGCATCCTACGTGCTCCCTTCCCTTTTTCCATGAAGTAGGATCACTGTCCCACAAACTCTTTAATTGGACGATTACTCTCCCAGCCTTCCCTGTTTCCTCCATTTCCTTCCCCTACTCCCACAGGTTAGAAAAATTAGCCACAAAGGCAAATACTCCCACTCTACCTGAACCATCACTGTCAGGACCCAGCCCAAGGATGCATTGGTGAGCATGCGGGGGACCATAAATAGAAGCATTCTTGCTCTGTGGCATCCAGGTGTACAACTGTCTTCCCATGAACTGGAGAGGCACGTGTCCTCTTAGGTTCCTATTTCACCCTTTCTCCTATACTCTCAACCAGACTTGATGTCCCATACCTCGAACACCCTGTGTCAAGAGTGACTTGGACTTAGCAACCCTTCTTTCTCGTTGGGTGTTTGTTGCCAGGGATTGGGCCAGGAGCAGCCAGACTGGCAATTTCAGGAGACAAGACAAAGAAATACAAAGAATTATGTCTCACTCTCAAAGAAAACATAAATGACCCAGCACCACACCTGTCTCACTTCCAAGAACAGGTAGATTCCTGTCAGCAGTGGTCCTGCAAAATCACTGAGGATTTAGACGTCCTCAGCTCCATAAAAGGAGGACTTTGCCTCTGGGTAAAGAGTGTGGCTTGTGGTCAGTGCCACCATAGCTCAATAGGATAATCCTCCACCTGCTCGCCGGCACACCAGGTTCTGGTCCCGGTTGGGGCGCCGGATTCTGTCCCAGTTGCTCCCCTTCATTCCAGCTCTCTGCTGTGGCCCAGAAGTGCAGTGGAGGATGGCTCTAGTGCTTTGGCCCTGCACCCACATGGGAGACCAGGAGGAACCACCTGGCTCCGGGTTTCAGATCAGCGTGGTGTGCCAGCCACAGCGGCCATTGGGGGGTGAACCAACAGAAAACGAAGACCTTTCTCTCTTTCTCTCTCTGTCCACTGTGCCTGTCAAAAAAAAAAAAAAAAAAAGAGTGTGGCTTGTACACCAGTCAGTCAGGTGCTGTGAGAGATGCTATTGAGCACATTGAAAAGCATGCTAATAAAATGTAAGAATGCATTACAATACCCTTGCCACATTTTAGCCATCTTTGCCACTCTGGGTAACTTTTCTACTGCTTTCTTTTTCCCTCATAATCACAGTGCTTTATTCTTATGATATATAATTACACATTTCAAAAGTGCTCACAGGAACCAGTGATTGCTAAATACCAAGACATCCCGCAGGAACATCACAAGACTGCTCTTCTTCTCCAGTCACTCTGGACTACAGCCCTGCATCAGCAGGAAGTGGCCAATAGGACACCAGCACCCATCTCTCTCTGTCCTGGGAGTAGGAATACAGGACCTTGAGCAACATCATGGGCAGAAGAGATGCCGTGTTACAGCCACATCACTGCCTCTAGAGTTCAACCATTAGCCCCAGCCCTCTGGAAGGTTGAAAAAGCCAAGGCAAAACAGCTCAGCTCTGTCTAATCCCTGCCCAGCCTGAACCAAAAGTACCCAGGCTAGATAAGCCCCAGTCTCTACCAGAACGTGTCCCAACCCTCGCTAGTAGTGGGCCCTCAGGTCTGTCTCTGAATAAACAGGCTCTAGCTACTGAGTTCGTAGTTTGTAGTCTGTCTTCCCTGTGTCTTGTGCATATTGTCTAAAACACACCATCAGGGAAATGAGCAAACCAGACAACACCAGCATTCAGTCCTCGGTCAGGGGAAACCATTAGATGGATTCCCAGTAAAGGAACATTCCGTGTGTTTGAGTTCAGTTGCTTATTCATCCACTGATCCACTCCCCACACACATGCAATGGCACCAGGGACTAGCTAAGACCAGGAAGTCACCCCAGATCTCCCTGACAGGTGGCAGTAACCCAAGCATTTGAGCCTTAACCCCCCAGGATCTCTTTAGCAGGAAGGTGATGCACATGAAACCCAGGCACTCTGATACTCTGATGTCCCAACCACAAAACACAATGCTCACACCCCACTTTTATTCCCAAATAAAACACCACTCACCTGGACGGATACTAAAATGTCCTGCCAACAACACCTCAGCCAGCACACGTCTGGGCCAAGACTTCAACTCAGATGAGACTGAAACCGCAAGTTGTAACTGGGAACCTATAGGAGGAAAACACCCTCGTGTTTGAACAGGCCTTGGAGAACCTAAGAACCAATTCACACCTACCAGATGACAAAGAGAAAGATGTCTGCTGCTAGCAACACAAACTTTGGGATTCTCTACTGAGTCCACCGTGACCTCAGCCATAAGACCAAAAGGGCCTCACTTAGAAATGAAAGCTTGTAAGGGCTGGGCCCTGTTGGCAACCAGTCCTCTGCCTGTCACAAGCTGTTCAACCACAGCCCTGACACAGACAATAAAGATGCTTCCTGCTCCCCCTCTTCCATGGCTTATAAAGGAAAGGGGACCCCTAAAGTGAAAGTAGGGCAATGCCAGGGCTGAGAAATGATCAGCAAGGGGGCTCCAAAATCAAGTCCACTTGCTGTGCTGTGGCACACTGTCCCCTAAACTGCTCCAGGCTACTTGGAAAAAAAAAAAAAAGAGGGTTCCTTTTTGTATGTAGGATCCAAACTGAGGAGGCCCTCCCTTAGTACCATAATGGGGAGGTGGAGGGCTCAATCTAAGGCGCTGTGGAAGAGGTAGCTGTGATCCAGACACGCACCCTTGAGGGGCAGCCAGGGCCTCCACCAAGCCCACCATCAACACCATGACCTCCCCTGGGAGTCAGGAGCCACCAAGAAATGAAATTGCCTGACCGCAGATCAGGGCGGTCAGCTCACCTGTTAGTGCTCATCACCAATTTCATAGTGTCCCATGTCTACAGGGAAATACACTTCATTGTGTCTCTTCATTCAAAATAGGCCCAGCACTCAATGTCCAGTCTACCATTGCTTTAAGAAAAACAAAGAGCCAACTGCAGTCCCCTCCCCTCGTCCCCACCCTCCCAGGGAGCAGCCCCAGAGCACGGTGGGCCTCAGAGGCTCTAATTCAGCCCCTTCCCAAGAAGAGCTCACTGCCCAGAGAGGAGGGGAGTGAGGCCTTCCAACCAGGCTCTGCTGGGGGGGGGGGGTGTTTATCCAGATGCCCACCAGGTGCAGGCCTCTTTCTGCTCTCACCCAGACAGAGCACCTCCATCCCACAGCCTTGCTTTACCCTCTGTAATATTAAGGTCTGATGGAGACTACGCATTGGCCTCCTTGCCACTCTAAATGTCTGTGGCCATTTTGCTTGCATGTCCCCACATCTCTGGGAAGAGCAGATCCTCCCTTAAAGTAGACAACGCCCACCCAATCCCACTTACTGCTGAGAGGCACCAGAGCTTTTCTGGAATCCAGGCTGAGCCCTTGCCCCACCCTCTCCCAGGGCCTCATTCTAGACCCAGCCCCCTCCTCAGACAGCCAGCCTGGCATTTAATCCTCCCTGCACACCTGGCCACGGAGAGACAGGCCTCCAGTCAGCACCTGAAAACCCCACCTCTCTCCCAGTGAGCAGAGGTCTACACCTGCCTGCAGAGAGGAAGGTCCTGCAATCCCTGAAGGGAAGTGGCTGCCTGCTCTGCCCCACCGCAACTGTGCAGGAAGAGCCCAGCAGGTCGGCCAGCACTTACCGGTGGTCCGGGGGCGGCACAGGCCGGGGACAGGTGCCAGGCGTGGGCACTGCAGACACAAAGGCGCTATGGCAGTTTCGGCGTCTGGGATGCCAAAAGAGGCTTCCAGCGCCCAGGAGCACAGGAGAGAGCAACTCCATGCTCCCTGGGCACACAACATAAAGGTCCTGAGCCCAGAGTCCGCCACCAGCTTTCGACCGCCAGGGGGCGTCTGCTTCAGCATCAGTGCAGGCCACTGGCAACTGACATTTACAGGGACCCCGCAAGGCAGCAGAGGTTTCAGGAATCCAGAACCCTGACCTCAGTCCCCAAAGCCGGGTTGGGGTGTAAAGTCCCCCATCGACCGCGGTGCTGAGGGTAAAGCAATGCAAGCAGCAGCCGCGGGACTCGGCCCAGGAAGCCACCTGGAGCTGGCATCCCAGCCCCTCATCTGCGAGCGCCATTCGGGGAGGGGTGCGGGGAGTGCCCCAGCTTGGGGGCCTGCGTGTGGGCTGTAAATGCCGACTACTCTGTTAGAAACTTCTAATAAAGTATTTAGGGGGAAAGCTTCGGATACCTCCAAGGACGCCTGATAAAGAAAATGTTTCCAAAATGGCGTCCTGGAGGGAGGAAAGGACGCCATCGTCATGGCGGCCTCCTCTTTCCGTTACCCGCTGCTGTGGCCCATTCGGGACTCGCCAGGGACGCTGGGAGGCCGCACATCCGGGTGTCCACAGTCAGGGTCCACTGGCTTCAGGCGTCCCCACATAACCTAGTGAAAAGTAGGCCATGGGAAGAAGGGTTCCCCCAAAGAAACTACCCCCATCATCTGCCTGGGCTTCTGCAGCAGGGGAAGGGCATGGCCAAGGCCAGCCACAGACCAGAGGGCCCCTCCTGCTTCCGCCCGGCCAATCTTCATACTTCCTCAGTTCAGCAAATGGCGGCCGTCTACTCCCCTGGCGGAGAACTGCACCGCGCTGTGAGGAAAGCCTAGCTCAGGTCTGCATGATCTGACTCAAACTGGCTTCTTGCTGCTTCGGTGGTGGTTTGTGGCAGTCCAGCCACTCTGAGTTCAGTGTAAAAAATTCTGCTCCCCGGGCACATCAGGAAAACAAGCTCTAGGCAGTTTACAATCCCTGCCCCTTTTCCACATCTCCCCTCCCCACTTCGCCCAAATCCTACACATTAGGCTACAAGGTGCCCCCTGAGACATTTCACTCCCACTCTGGGGGGTAAAGCACGAAGTCATGCTTTTGTAACTACTTCTTGTTGATCCTGGACATGGCCCAGGCTGGTGGAGAGACACTCTCCTACTCAACATCAACAAAGGACTTCAGACACTGGTTGTAGCCCCTACAGGCTGTGGGCAACAGGGCAGGCATCTAGAGGCATCCTCACCTGACATTCAATGTGTCGCCCTGTAGAGCAGCAGTCTGAGGTCTGACAGGGGCTCTCCAAGGAGCCATCCGGGGTTCAGGAGAGACAAGGAACTTCCCTGCTCTCAGCTGTGGTGACTGCAAGGAGTCCCATGGAGAAGCTTAGGAGAACAATCAGTGGTAAACAGCGCCAAGTGTGGTCCTGCCCAGAAGGGTTTAAACTGCTCCTGAAGAGAGCTCAGTTTACAATCAAGGGGGTGGGCTGCCTACCTGTGTAGGTGAGACTAGGTCTGAGGTGCACATCAGATGAGAGCAGCCACTACCTGCCCTCATTGTATTGTCTTGTTCTCATTTCCAACCTTTGGCAGGTCAAGGGGCCAGCCCAATTGGGAAAGAGCCTTCCATAGATAATTCAAAGGGGCTGAATCCTAATTCCTTTTTGTGGCTGCTCTAACACAGGCTAAGGCACTTGGAACAGACCTTTAAGCACTTCTCATGAATTTCTTGGCAAAGGCTAACTGATTCATATGTAGGGTCTCACTGGATGGTTTCCAGACAATTGGGGTCTCCAGGCACCAAGTCATTTGTATCTTATGCCTACAACCTAGGGACTCCAGCCATCTTGGAAACCAAAACCTATCCATTACCACTTTGTCAATGATATGCAGCCCACATCTCAAATTTCCCTCTACAGACTTTTATACAATATTATTTCTGGGAAATAGACACAGATATCACACATGTGCTGATTCACCCCTGAAATGCCACTACTGGGGCTGGGCACTCAATTGAGGTCTGACACATGGGTGGCAGGGACCCAACCAGTTGAGACAGCATGTGCTGCCTCCCCAGGACTACATACACAAGAAGCTAGACTCAGAGTGGAGGTAGGCCTGGAACCTTAGCATCACCATGTGGGATGTGTGTAACCCCACAGTGTCCAACCTCCTGCTTCAAATCCCACCCTGAGAAGCTTTCAATGCCTTAGACATGCACTGCTGCTCCATCCTGACTTAGACACAGAAACGTCTGATTTCATAGCCAGTCTCTTCCCAGGTGGGATGCAGAGCTCAGGAAATGTGGGAGTCAGAACTTTTAAACCAGGCCACAGGGCAGAGGTTCCACTCCTCTCTCTGTCTGCTCTCACGGAAACTCCTTTAACAGCTCATTTTGTGACTCCAGTGTCCATCCTCTATCTCTCCAGCTTCTCCTATCTCTAGGGTAACCAAGGGCTTCACATGGGATTTGGATTTTATCCAGAGGCCATCTGCAGAGCCAGTAACCCATTGGACTTCTTCTGTTGAGGGGAGCTGAGCCCTTCCCATCTGGGGACACCTGGGCCACTCCTCACCAGTGTCCTTCCTGCTTGCTGTAGGCACATGGGCGAGGCTCTAACTTAACCACTGACATGGATGGGCGCTTTGTGGTTTCAGGCTCACCCCCATGTCAGTGTCCCTCATCCTATTGGGGTCCCTGGAATAGACAGGAGATCCGGCAGCAAGCCAGCAGCCTGCCTCCACATCTTTCAGTTCCCATGCTGATGTTCTCCATATTATGGCTCAAGAAACACAGTAGCCAGTGTCCACCAATAAAGAGGAATAGCCTTAGCACTGATGGTGTTTAGGTTTTCTGGACACTCTGAGATAGGCAGCACCTGTTAGACCCACCCGACTTCTCTGGGCATTAGGGTCCCAGGAAGCCTGCTTTCTATCCTATCCTCTTTGGGAATGTCGAGTTACAAGAGTCAGTTGGGGGATGGTTTAAGTCCAGATTCCAGCTTGGAAAAGAGTCTGCCACCCCCTCCCCCTATGGACAGGTGCACAAAATTGGTGAAACATGAAAGTCACTAGGGATGGGGGAGCAAAAAGAATAAAATCCCAGATGTACCTCAAGTGCTGGGAAGGCAAAGCCAACATCACAGTCATCCATTGAGAAGCATGAAATTCCCTCTCCATTTCTACCTATAGAAGGCAGAGGTCTCTAACCCTGAATAAAGTGGCCCCATGCTGTGAAGCAGGGAAGGTCAGACCCAGCAACCCAGAGACCAGGCTCGGGGTTTCTCAGACCTCTCCCTTTGCACTCCTCTGTCTCCCAGGGGAGAGCCTCACCCCAGCATTCTGGCGTCCTGGTAAAGGCTGTGCCTTTCTCCTCCACAATTCTGAACTGATGCTGAACTTCCGGTCCTGGCAATCCTGTCTACGTTAATTAAGACACTTATCAAACTGCCTAAATGACTCAGCCCTGAATCCTGTGAGATGCTGGACAAACAGGAGTGCAGGTGACCGTGTACCTCTCAGCTCTCTGCATCAGCAGCTCAGCATGGCCAGGTCCCAAGCCACACCTGAGTGCCATAAGGTGGAGTAAGTGTCCCCAAGACTAAGTGCTCCTAGATGTGCTGCTGCCACCATTGCTCAGATCTTGGTGATGGACAACTTGACCCAGGATGCAGCAAGTGTTACCCACAAGCTGCCTGGCACTCTTCAATCTGATACTGCCAACTGCTTAACTCCCAGTTCCCAGAAACCCCTACCCCAGGTTAGGAACCATCTCACATCTAGAGTGTTTGTGCATCAGTACAGGTGATGCCAGGCCTAGGGGTTCCTTGGCACTACACAACTGATGGCATCCCTTGCAAGCACATGCTAGAATGATCCCCAGAAACCACAAGAGAGACTGAGAATGTCCAGAGAGGGACGATGAACTGTGCAGGCTCACACTTGTACAAGGATGTGAGAGCAGGTCCGAGCCCAGCTGTGGCACTGTCTGGGCCCAAGCCAGCCCTATGGCAGGTGCTGCCTGGGTTGTTGCAACTGTGGACAGCGGGCACATGGCATAGGGGTAGAAGTAGAATAGGAAGAGTCCAAGTAGAATCTGAGGATATCTTGTGTGAGGAGGGGGCTCAGTTGAGGAGCCACAGGAAGTGACCTCACTACGTTGGTGATGACCTAGAGAACTGGGTGCCCCAGCAACCACCCCAACATTCCAGAGTTGAGTCTAAGCCAGCTCACCTGGATAGAGTCTCGCAGGAAGATGTTCCTGAGTTGTATCCCGCGATGCCCAAGCCCAGGCCCCAAGAAACCCTGCTGTGGGCGCCTCGCCCAGTGGTGGGGACGCTGGGCCAGCCCTCACCCCCGATGCTCCTGGAGCTTCAAGCAGAAAAAGGCCAAGGTGAGTCTGGCAGCCAGGGCAGCTCTCTGCTGACCAGGACACCACTGAGACCCCATGGGAGCCCATAGGCCTCTGTGGGGGGGACATGGTCTACTTCACTCTTGGAGGAGGGAGGCTGGAGTTCAGAGGCAGGGCAGCCCAGAGCTGCTGGCTGCGGAGGGATCCAGGGACTGCCTCTTACCTGCCATTCTCTGCTCTTGTCTCCCAGGTCCAGGACAGGGCACCCTCGCGCCTGGCACAACACAGCGGGCTGGGGATCGCAAGCAGCCCAGACAACCGTAGGCCAACTAAAACTGATGAGCTGTGTGTAGTGGGGGAGTGGTCAAACTCACCCACAACTCCAACGCTCATGTATCGGGCGTTCCACCGGGCACACAAGCCACCTGAGGCCCCCCTCAGTCACTTAATCTTGGTAAAGGCCCAGATAGAGCCCAGGGGGTCCGCAAATGCCCATTTCACAGTGGAGGCACTGGGGCACGACGGCTTCACCAGTTCCAGATGGGAAGCAAGCTCAGGGCTGGGCTTGGAACCTGACCTGACAGCTGGGGCGAAGCAGAGCCATGACCTTCAAGCAACACCCCCACTGGAGCAGTCATGGCCCTCCAAAGATGAGTGGGGGACAGCTGTGTCCCCAGCTGCAGCCAAGAAAGCTGCAGGAGCACCAGAGACAGCACTGGCCCAGGCCTCAGCCCCAGCTCTGCAAGTCCCTTTTGCTTCAGCCCCAGTGCCACACCTGCCCTTCCCCACCCCGGTGTTCCTGTATTTCTCTTTAATCCTCCCCATTGTGTTCCTTGTCTCCACCTTATTGTTGCTTTACCAAAATAAAATTTAATTGATTACCCACTGCGAAGTGTGCAATTCACACCATGCAAACTCCCCATACTGTGCCCTCCCCACCCCACTCTCCCTGCACCATGGCCCCAATGCCAGGGACCTGGATCCCCTGCAGAGGACACTGGCACTTCCCCAGGGGCAGAGCCAGGGTTCCCCATTTGGACAAAGAGCACCAAGTGCTGGGATGGCCAAGGAAAGCAAAGAACAGGGAGATGCTTGCAGGGCTGTGGCGGCGCCTCCTCATGGTCAGGGACGCGGACTCTGAGGTCACAGATCTGACCTGCAGTGGGTGTTCTCCCTGCAGCCTCAGTGTCCTCATCTGTGAGATGGGAAGGCAGCCCTGCCCACAGCTATCACCGGCACAGGGAATGCGATGCTCTACACCTCCCTGCACACATTGGGCCCCCTGCTTCCAGTATGAGGAGTACACAAGAAAGGGAAAGGGTTCTTACACTGAAGGCACAGTTTGGGTCCTGGGGCCACACATACACACAGAAGCTGTCACAGTCTCTGTCCCTGCACTCAACAATGGGTCACTGGCAGAAGGATCCGAGCAGGGTTTTGCTCACTGCTCAGGAGACAGGGGGGCCTTGTCTGGGACCCCATGTGCCCCAGACTGCCTGGTGTGCAGGTGACATGGGTGGGTCTTGGCTGGGAACATGGAGACACAGAGGATATCCCCAAGCACAGTGACTGCTCTTTCCCCGAGCTCCTGGGATTTCCCAGCCCCTGGCCAGGCACACGGGTGACCATGTCTCAGCCATGGGGAGGCACTGCTATCACTCCCCATTTGCAGATGAGGAACCCCTTGGGGGGGCCCCACCCAGGTCACGGCTGTGCTGATCCCACATGAGGACTCCCCTCCCCACTGTAAGCCCAGACTGTCGGGGCCCGAGGACCCTGTGGGCAAACAAGAGGGCAGCACAGCAGGCCAGGAAGGAGTGGGAAGGGTAGGACTATCTCCAAGAGATCATAGTCACAGGGATTTACTTAACGGGTGTGGGGAGCAACTTGGACTAGAATAAGTTACTGGAATTAAGACGTATTCTATGCATCTGCTCTCCCACAATATTGCGCTGAGAAGGGAGAAACAGCTTCTACACAGCTGCCTCCAGTTCGACCAATAAACTGTAGGACCTACTCCTGATTGGAGGAGAGCAGCGTACTCAGCGTGTGGGTAGCAGAGTTGGGATTGGTGGAAGAGGACTATAAAGGAGGAGAGAGACAACATGCACCAGGAACATCTAAGGGGAACATCTATCTGAAGGAACACCTGTGCAGCCCCCGAGAGAGCTGGCCGGCGGTGTGCCACTCCCCCGCGTAAGTGGGGAATGTGGCAGGGGGAACCGCCCTTCCACGGAGGTGGAAGGGTCGGTAGCCAACCCGGGAAGAACCAGCAGCAAACCCGGGGAGGGCCGAGCAGACGAAAGAACAGCGCAGGGTCCTGTGTCGTTCCTCCACAAAGACGGGGAGCGACAACGGGCTTCTCAGCTGATCCACTGGGGCTGAGGGATGCCTGTGGAGGAGGAAGCTGGGGCACTGGAATGCTGACCTGTGTGTGTTCCTGGGAATGGCCTGGATCACACCCACTGACAGCACTGGCCCCATGACTGTCCCTCTGGATATTGTCCCAGATCACCTGCTGCCTGTGCACCCTGCACACCTGCCAGCCTGGGGCCCAGGTCAGGCCAACTGGAGGGAATGGGTGGCACTGGGTGCACCTGTCCTGCAGAATGCCAGGCAGCTCAGTTTGGCTGCCTTGGCAGGGAGGGCCCCAGGGATTCTGTGCTCCCCAGCACTGGGAGGGCACAGAGTGGAGTGTCCACCACTCAGGACAGCCGATGTCCCCATCTCAAGGTCATGAGCTCATGGTCATGTCTAGTTCCAGGTCCTGGGGTCTAATGGCTAGAGCCCACCCCCAGGAAGCTGAGCTGAGGGTATTCTCACCATGTCTAGTGGTGCAGCCTGATGCCCTGATGAACTGTAGGGTCCTAGAGAGGCAGGCTGCCCCAGCACAGGGGACAGAGAGGGCAGAGGAAAGAGATGCAAGCCCTGGGCTGTTGTGGGGAGAGGTGAGTATGAACAGCTGAGGGGTGAGCCCCTGCAGGCCTCTGTCTTTGCGTGGGTCTCTCACTGTGTCCTGACCACTCAGTGACATGGGAGTATGAGATCCCCACTGAGGCTAGAGGCCCTGCTCTCTGCAGTCTACTCAACAGCAGAGCCAGGTTTAACACAAGGAGAAGCCAGAAACCCTGGGACTCCCTTGAAAATGAGGCTGCACCCAGATGCCTCTGGGGACCAGCTGCCCTGCCTACAGGTAAACTTAAGTAGGCCCAACAGACATGTGTGCACCAGAAAGCGCTCTGCCACCCAGGATTGCGCCCTCCCCAGTGTGCTACCCTCAAGTTCACATAGCAGGACAGGCAGACAGACATCCGGACCTGGAAAGTCTTCTGTATTTCCCTGGTGGTGGGAACATCCTGGGCAGACGACAAACACAGCAAATGATGCTCTAAACATCCAATGGCCATGGCAGAAAATAAGCCTCCACGCCTCTCATTTAGTATTGCACCTCATGAATTCTAAACTGAAACCTAAAATAAAGCATCAAAAACATAAATGTTGAGTCAAAATATAAATCACGTGGAAGACAATTTACAAAATGTTTCTAACTTGGAGTGACTCGCAGATTATGAGTGCATCACAACTATGATAGATAATAAAAAGATATAAGGTAATTTCTCCAAATTTCAAACATTTGTGATTCAAAAAACACATTTTCTTTTTTTTTCTGACATGCAGACTGGACAGTGAGAGAGAGAGAGACAGAGAGAAAGGTCTTCCTTTACCATTTGTTCACTCTCCAATGGCCGCTGCTGCCAGCGCTGCAGCCGGCGTAACGTGCTGATCCAAAGCCAGGAGCCAGGTCCTTCTCCTGGTCTCCCATGGGGTGCAGGGCCCAAGCACTTTGGCCATCCTCCACTGCACTCCCGGGCCACAGCAGAGAACTGGACTGGAAGAGGGGCAACTGGGACAGAATCCGGCACCCCGACCGGGACTAGAACCCGGGGTGCCGACGCAGCAGATGGAGGATTAGCCTATTAAGCTGCAGCATTGGCCAAAACACATTTTCAATGTGAAAAAACATCACACAGATTCAGACAAAATATTTTAAAATCATGCATCTGTCCACAAAATATAAGGTACACTTACAACAGAATAATAGGAAAATGAACAACTCAACCAACCAGGAGTCAAATATTCAAATGTGCATCTCTTCTAAGATAAGCCCAGAAAAAGTTGCTCAACATCATCTGGACCCAGGGAAAAGCAAAGGAAAGCCACAGTGTGAACCAACTCTCCCCTACTTGAGTGGCAGGAGTTTAAACAATGGGGAGGAACCAGAGTTATAAAGGATATGGACAAACAGACCTCACCCATTGATGGTGAGAGTGTGAAATGGTGCAGCCACTGTAGTGTTCAAGCAGTTGTCCAAATGGAGATATGAAGAGTTGCTGTCGGACTCAGCTACTCCATTCCTAGCTCATACTCAAGATGACTGAAAATACTTGTACCTAGAAAAAAGTACCCAGGTAGACATAAGTTGGTATCTGTTAATAAGAACCTAGGATGTAAATGGGTTGAATTCTCCACTAAAGGATACCGATTGGCTGAGTGGATAAAGACCAACACTCAAGATACTGCCTGGAAGAAACCCATTTCAGACACACATTACATCATGATAAAAGAATCTGTCAGAAAGAGGATATAACAACTGTCAATACATACATGACCTGAAAACGACACCACCTAAGCATGTAATGTAAACAATATTGGTTCTAAAGGGAGGTAGAGACCCCACAACAATAGGTGCTGGGGACTTCACCATCAGGTTATCTAGGCAGTCTAGAAGCACTAGACTTACGAAGTGCTACAAACCAAACGGACTCATCATTTGTGGAACGCTGCCTCTGGATCCTCAACTGCAAGACAGTGCTTAACCACAGAACCTAACTCTATCACTTTTGGGAAGAACAAATTGATTAAATGAAAAAACATGGAAGAAAACCTGGTCATAACGAGCACACAACATACTCATCAATGCTGTGGGTGATTCATATTGGTATTAAAAAAGAAATCAAAACAGAAGAAAGACTGAAATCTAAGACCTGAGCCTTTGAAACAATTAGAAGAAAACACAGGGGAACTGCTTCCGGACAGTGCTACGGGCAAGGATTTCTTAGATCAGATCCCAAGAGCACAGCATACCAAGCCAACTAGTGGACAAATGGGATTTCACCAAATTAGGTGAGCTTCTGCACACCAAAGGAAACAATATGTGCCAGCCAACATCTGACATAGCAGTTAGTAAAGTCAATATAAAACACAACTAACAGCAAAAGCAAAAAACCAACAATAAGTAAGTCAGATTAAAAATGGCCATAGATAGAAATAGACATTTGGTAAAGGAAGACATGTCAGTGGTTCTATTTCACAGCACAGGGAGGAACTACAGATACTGTGAAATACTGGACAAAAGTGCTGATCACTAAACTCAGAGAGATACAAAGCAAGACCACAATGGGATACCAAGAGATGAAAGATAACAAGTGAGGATGTCTGTGGAGGGGAGGGAACACTTGGCACTCTGTGGGTGGGAATGAAGATCTAGCAAAGCAGCAAGGAAGTTGCTCAATAAACAGAAACTACAGCCACCATCCAGTCCAGCAATCCCACTACCTGGTGTACATCGAAGGGAAAGGAAGTTAAGTCTGTGGAAGAAAGATCTGTGCCCCCAATTTTACTGCAATCCTGTTCCCAGTAGCTAAGGAATGCAAACAACCTACACATCCATCCACCATGGATGGAAAAAGAAAAAAAGGGGTACATGTACACATAGGAATACTACTCGGCTATAAAAAAGGTTGAAATCTTGTCATTTGTGGTACCATGGGAGGATCTGGAAATCACTGGGTTAAGTGAAATCAACCAAGCACAGAAAGACAAACACCACATGACCTCACTCACATGTGGAATCTGCAAAGTGGTGATATCCTGAGGGCTCAGGGCACAACGGCAGTTGTCAGAGGCCGGGAGGCAGGGACAAGGGCAGTGGGCAGGGACAGACTAGTGTGAGTCACAGCTGACGGAGCAGGAGTCTCGGTGCTTCTGCTGCACAGGATGGGACTGGGGAGGAGAGGACAAGGCTGATGCCCTGTGTATCTCCCTAGGAATGCAGATACAGCCCTGCAGTGTGGCGTTTGCTTCCCCACAGGAACAAGCCCAGTGAACTCGGGGGACAGAGGAGGAGGAGGTGGGGAGCAAGGGCTTTCCACCCTTCTGCTCACTTCCTGCAGGTCAACCTACGAAGGTGAAAGTCCATGGCGATCAAACCATGGACGCACGCAGTCCTGACCCTGTAATTCCCCACAAGCTCAGGTTACACTCAGGTCTGAACTCATGCAATCCTAAGCCCTACAAACCAAGAACCTGGGTAAGATGATCTGGGTGAAGTTCCAGGGATGCTGGGAAGGCAGATCCCGCCCCAGTACCCTCTCCTCACACAGTGACACACAGCAATGGCGGCCGCCGCAGCTGTAAGGGTGCAGGTGCAAAGGCTCGGGTTTCAGGGCTTGACAAGGAACGCCTTCTGCAATCCTGAAAACTCGAGGAGGGGACTACTATGCCCATTTTGTAGCAGGGAAATTGAGGCACGGGACAGGGAATCCACATAAAGCCACGTCACTTCTCACAGCAGAGTCCAGATCATGCCCTGTCTCTCCAGCTCCTCATCAATCTCCTGGTTCCACTCCTGTACCCCAGCCCCAGAAGCTCTCCTCTAGGCACCGTGGACACCGGATAGAGATCAGATCGATATTGGCCCGGGGCACCCTGGGCACTGTAGGGTGTGGGGCAGCATCTCTGGCAACCACCTGACCCAAGCCAGGAGCACCTCCCAGAAGTACCAACCACAGTGTCCCTTAAGGAGTCACAATCTCCACAGCTAGGAACCAGGACCCCATGGACAATCTTTACTCAGTGGACAAAGAAACTGTTTTTTAAATTTTTTCATCAATTTTCATTTGACTTGAAAAGCAGAAAGACAGGCGGAGCTCTCATTGGTGGCAGGGACCCAAGTGCTCGAGCCACTGCCTGTGCCCCCCCAGAGACACGTCAGTGGGAAGCTGGATTGGAAGCAGAATACTGGCAGCCAAACCCAGCACCCTCATGGGGGATACAGGCATCCAAGCTGGCAATTTGACCTCCTGGGCCACAAACCCCTCCTGCAACAAAGCTTTTAAAAACAAATCCAGCGGCTGGCACCATTACCTGCAGTGCCACCATCCCTTATGGGCACCGGTTGAAGTCCTGGCTGCTCCACTTCTGATCCAGCTCTCTGGGAAAGCAGAAGATGGCTCAAGTCTTTGTGCCCCTGCACCTGCATGGGAGACACAGAGGAAGCTCCTGGTTCCTGGCTTCAAAATGACCCAGCTCCAGCTCTTGGAGCTATCTGAGGACTGAACAAGAGGATGGAAGACCTCTCTGCCTCTGCCTCTCTGTAACTCTGCCTTTCAAATAAATAAATAAATCTTAAAAAAAACTTAAAAAAAAACACCTAACACATTCACTTAAAAAAGAAAAATCAAGGAACCAATGTTGTGACATGGCTGGTCAAGCCACCACCTGCCAGGCAAGCATCCTAAATGTGCAAAAGTTCAGGTCCCTAATGCTCCATTTCTGAGCTGGCTCCTTGCATATGTGTCTGTAGGCAGCAGAAAATGGCCCAAGTACTTGGATGTCCCAGCTTCTCACTTCAGCCTAGCCCAGCCCCAGCCATTCATGCCATCTGGGCAGTGAACCATTAAATGGAAGATTTCCCTCTGTATCTCCTCTCCCTCTCTCCTGGGGAGAAAAAATGTTTGCAGAGACCCACACTGGCTCTCCCTGGCTCCAGGTTAAAACCCAGAACCACTCCCTCTGAATAAGGCCTGGAGCTCCAGGTTGCCCCAAAGCTGCCAGGCACCTGTTCCCCCTATGCCCGCAATGTTACTCCCAGAGAACTCCCAGAGGCACAAGCTCCCAAACCCCCCCCACATCAGCTCCAGTCCTCTATCATCAAGTCCCCTGGAGCTCCTGTCACAGTCTGCCATGTGCTTTTAAGGAGGGGTGGGAACGAGAGCTGCTGTGCCCATGTCTGCTGCTAAGAGCCTGGCTTCAGTTCTAACCATCTTGGGTTAGAGCCCTGGCCCTTCCACTCGTTGGGCAGGCACCGCGGAGCAAGCACACCCTGCCCCGCTCTGAGCCGCCATTTCCTCACTTATCAAATGGGCTCACTCCACATCATCACACAGAGAATGGAAGGGTTACACAGTACTTGATGCGGCTCCCCAGGAGTTCAGATACTCAGCAGCCTCTTTGATTGTTTGTTTTTCCAAAGATGGCCAAAAAAAAAAAAAAAAAAAAAAGTCCCAGTTGTGTGGACATCAGAATTGCCAAGAATAGAGAGCTGGGAAATCTGGGTGCCCGGCAGCGCAGGAAGAGGTGACGCTTGCTCGTCCCACTCCACGCTGCATGAGGCGCGACTCTCCATCCTGAAGGTGCCTGCCCTGCACAGCTGGTTCTATGACACAGATGTATCATCTCGCCACATCTGCAGGTCAGGAGCCCAGGAGCTGCAGGCTCAAGGTCTCTCCTGAGGTTACATGGGGCCATCTGGTACCCTGCCATCTCAGTTCCTTGTGGCTGTAGGGCTGCATCCCCATTTTCTGCCTGGCCTGGGTGGTTAGCTCGGATGCTCGTGTGGGCTGAGCTGATGTATGGTCAGGTTCTCGGTCAGGTCCAGGAGGACTCTCGGGTCCCCTCAGATATTGGCTGACTCACGCAGTGCCACCCACATCATCTCTCTTTACACTGATGCAGTGGCTGATTCAGGGCCCTCCACCACAGCTGCAGAGTCTGTCCCAAGATGGGGCACCACAGGAGAACAACAACGTGGGGTGAGACCCAGGAGCAGGTGGCACCTGTGGGGCATGGGCAGACATCCTGGGGTTGGAAGATAGGCAGTGAGAGCCAAACAAAGGGCAGAGCAGGCTGTCCAGGGAGCAGCAGCAGTGAGCACCCAGGCAGGCAGATAGTGCAGCCAGGGAGCAGGGAGCCTGGACGGAGACGTCTCCCAGGATGCAAGACAGCTCAGCCCCTCGCAGGCTGTCACCAGGAAGATTCAAAGCTGTGCCCTCCGGTCAGGGAACCACAACGTGAGACAGCAAGGCTTCGGGGGCAGAGAAACAAGGCTGGAGCAGAAGTGACAGTGGCAAAGGATCCGCAAGGCCCAGGACCTGGCCAGGAGTCTCCCTGATGCTTGCCAGGCTTATGGCAGGTGCTGAGACAGCCCCAAATGTCACTATCCTAGCACCTGTGGGCCAGGCCTGGTACAGCACCTGCTGGCTTCCTTTAAGTGAGCAAAGTCCACAAAACATGGAAATTTGGAGCACACACCTCAGCTACATTTAGAACATTCCCATGGCTGGACAACCCTCTTCATCCTGTCTCAAGTCAGGGTCCCAGCCCGCCTTCCTTGGCCTGTGCACTACTCAGCCCGCTGTCTGCTCCCCCGATCCCAATGAGCCGTACAGCTGAGGGAGGAAACAGGCAGCTGGGCCTGGGCGTCAGGGTGCTCATCTGCCGGCAGGACAGCACGGAGCCCACTCGCAACCCTACATGCCATTTAGGATGTCCAGTACACTCAGGCACCACTGGAATGGAGAAGCAGCCTTTCTGTTTAGCTTGCCTCCTTCTTTTTCTTAATAATACTGCAAACCTCCAAATAATAAGATAAAATACAGTCAAAGAAATGTCTACTTAATTTCACCTACTTGAAAGGTAGAGAGAGACACACACAGAGAGAAGTCTCCCATTAACTGGTGCACTTCCCAAATGCACACAACCACCAAGACAGGACCAGGTGAAGCCAGGAGCCAGAAACTCCATCTGCATCTCCCATGTGGGTATCAGAGGCCCAGGGACTCAGGTCACTGAATGCTTCCTCTCAGTGCATCCAAGGGGAGCTGGATCAGAAGCAGGGCAGCCAGGTCTTCACCTGGCACCCAGATAAGAAATGGGGTTGCCCCAAGGGGAGGCTTAACCCTCTGTACCTTGAGACTCTCCAATTTACTTTGTAGGCTGACCAAGAATGCAAAACTACTAGGGCACTGGTGAAATGAGCTTCCACTTTTCTATTTTCCTATGGGTAATATTATTTTAAAGATTTCTTTATTTGAAAGAGTTACAAAGAGAGGCAGAGGCCAAGATAGAGCGGTCTTCCCACTGGGTCACTCTGTAAATGCCTGCAAAAGCCAGAGCTGAGCCAACATGAAGCCAGAAGCCAGGAGCTCCTTCCAGGTTTCCCACATGGGTGCAGGGGACCAAAGACTTCTGCCATCCTCTGCTGCCTGTCCCAGGCACGTTAGCAGGGAGCTGGACTCGAAGTGGAGCACTCATATGGGATGCAGGCGCTGCAGGCTGGGGATTTAACCCTCTGCACCATTGTGCTGGCCTCATCTATGGATAATCTTAACCACATAAGTTGCAACAGATATATTGTAAATATTAATTGCATACAAATACACAATGCTTAACTTGGGCACCTTCAAATCTATTGATATTATTTATATAAAAATACATGTCCCCTTTATAAACGGTTTTATGAACAGGTATGAGATCACCCTGGATAATCTTCCCAGTGAATCAAAAATGCAATCCGTCCTCTCGTGCTGTCAGAACAACCACGGAAAGCACACTGGGGACACTCAACCAACACCAGTGCTCAGGTGACTGATGCAGTTGTCTTGCATAACAAAGACTTCCTTCCAGGATCCAGTAAAAGCAGGAGGCTGGGAGATGAAGAAGTTCTAGAGAATAAAGCCACAGCCTGCAAACCCTCACATCCCATGTGGGCACTGGTTCCTGTCCTGGCTACTCCAATTCCAGTCCAGCTACTTGCAAATGATCTGAAAAAAAGTAGAGAAAGAGTGCCCAAGTCCCTTGGGCTGCTGCAACCCACAAGTTACTGGGTAGAAGCTGCTGGCGTAGGTCTGGCCCAGGGAGGCCACTGCCACCATCTGGGGAGTGAACCAATAGATGGAAGATATCTCTGTTTCTCTCCCTCTTTTTGTAACTGTGACTTTCAAAAAGAATAAATAAATCTTTTTTTAAAGAATTAGAAATTCTAGAGACACAGAGAAGCCTGAGAGCAGATCTCCCATGCGGGGTTCTCAGCACAACAAAAGGATATGGAAGAATCACAGAGCGCAGGGGCAGCGCAGCCATGTTCTTGTCCCATTCAGGGAGACCCTACAGGAGGAAGTCATGCATCGCCAACAGGATACACACCGGGCACTCACCCCTGCCCCTCCTACATGCCCAGCCCTGCCTCCTCAGCCAGCTGCCTCCGTGGCCTAGCTCCTCCAAGTGCACCCTGTCCTTTGGTTAACATCAACACCTGTCCTTCCCTGAATAACGCAGCAGGTGGACAAAGAGCAAAAACTGGAGTCTGTTCCTCCAATCAACTCTCCACAAACCCTGCACATTCAGGTCATTCCTGTGTCTCCACGCCCAGGCTACAGATGCCAAATGGCCCACAGGACAATTGTGCACTTGAGACGCAGCTCCTGATCTGCTGGGGGCTTGCTCTCTACAGGAACTGAGCCTGGTGACCCAGGGCCCACAAGTTATTCGGTGGTGACCCCCAAATCTCCTGCTGTGGGCTGCAGACACACACCACAGTGGAGACTGGGGAGTGACTGTCCTGGTGAGACTGGAAAGAGTCTGAGTTCTGAAGGAGGAAGATTCTGAGCCAAAGATCCCAAGTGAAGCCCTGCTCCCCACTCACACACACCTGACCAGTGTCCTACTGGTCTCACTGCCAGCTGACCCCTGCTCAGACTCCCAGCATGCTGGGTGGACCCTCAGCCAGCTCCCAAGACCACCACTCTCCAGCCCAGTATTCCTACCCAGCCTGACTGCTTCCCCCATGAGTGCTCCCACCTTCAATAGAGACCCCTCCTCTTCCTCTCCCCAACACCGGGCTTGCTGTCTCACTTAGCCAAACCATCCACAGCAAACCCCAGCACAGCCCTTAGCACGGCCTGGACATGGCCAAGCACTGCACACGGGAACTCCTGAACTGCCCACAGCAGCCCTTTGGGGGCCCCTTGTGAGACTCCTCACTGCAGCATGTAGTCAACTGATGCAGAGAGATGAAGGGGCTTCCTCGTGCCCTGCACCCAGAAGTGAGAGAACAGACATTCAAACCCTACAAAGAAGCACTTTTGTCTGCAAGTTTGGTCTCAATATGAATCAGTCAACCACAACCACTGGCCAGAATTTGGCACCTTTGATCAGAACGTCCTTGTGGACCTATACAACTTCCTCAAATGAAATGGCAAGTGGTCTGAAGTACCTACTTGCAAGAACTCTTCACAACCAACAGTCTGTGTGTAAGGACTGTTCCTCCTATGACGTCCTTCTCTCTTCCCCTCTTTCCCTCCCAAGCCCACCACAGAATCTGCAGCTGAGGCCTCACCCTTCGATCCACCTATTTTCAATCCAGCTAATGAGCCCCTCCTTACTGACCCCTACCCTCTGCTCTGCCCAAACCACTCAACTCCCCCCATAACAACCCAGCCCCAGCCTTGACCTCCCAGCCCCTCTTGGAAACTCCCTCAAAAACTCTAACACTTCCACAATCATAGAGATCCCACAGGATCCCCGCAGCAACCCCTCAGGTCAGGCAGACTCATCCATCTCCTCCCTTTCTTCTCATGCCTCCCCATACCAACCACATTGATTGGCTCCTTCCCCCACGCAGCTGCATCACTAGAACCCATCCCCCAACTCAATCTCAGAGCACAGAGAAACATGTTGCCCACAATGGAGGTGGCAAGCCCAGAGTGTCCCACTGTGTTCATGTTCCCTTCTCTCTCTTTTTTTCCCCCACAAATTACCTTTTATTTAACGAGTACAAATTTCATAAGTACAACTTTAGGAATATAGTGATTCTGCCCACCATACCCGCCTTCCCACCCACCTCCTCCTCCATCTCCATTCTCAGTCACATTCTCCATTAAGGGGAAAAAAAAAAAAAAAAAAACTGCTCCTCAACAGTCTAGACAAGCACTTTCCATTGCTTCTCAATTTCACCTCTACAGATTTCCTTTTAGGTGCTCTATTAGTTATCACAGATAGAGAGAACATATGGTATTTGTCCCTTTGGGTCATGTCCCCTTCTCATTGTCTGATATGAGACAGCCTGAGGAAAAATTAGGCTCCCTTTCAGAAAGCCCATCTAAATACAAAACGGAGTTCCTCTGCCTCACTTTTACCCTGGTGAGATGTCTAAAATACCTAACCTCCAGGCTCCCTGCTGATGAAAATGAGCGCATCTGGCACTCAGCCTGGACTCATACAGACTACCTGCATCAACAAGACCCCTCACACTATCAGGTGGCGTACACACTCTCCCGGGCACACAGCCAAACTGGACGTATCAGCCTGGAGATTTGGGTGCTCAGAGACTTCATCATATGTTCATCTGTCTCCTGGAAGGTGCGCACAACAATGCTCATACCTGTGTCAACCATGACAACAAAATTACTCACGGCCCTGATGATGTGAGTACCCTGGCTGGGACTCTGTATCTTCAAGTCCAGTTCATTAGCCAATGACATTGATACCAGACTCATTTCTGACAGTTTCAGGTAAGGGACAAATATGGTATAATCCTAGAGGTCTACAACATCACAAAACCAGGTCCCTCCCCAGCTATTATTCGGTTCAATATTTGTGAGGATGCAAACAAAGGACAAATACAATGCAGGGGAATAGGCTGGGAATGGTCTTATACCCAGGAATACAAACACATGTGTTTCCAAGAAGGCAATCTAGCCAAGGATAGACAGAAATGGGGCTGCCCAACCCCAGACTCTCCCCCTCCTCCCCAGTACTATTGCCCTTCATGGATATGCATGGATGACCCTTACCCTCTAATGTTCCCCTAAAAGCTGAGGTCAGGATTTTAAAACTTAAAAGTGGTCCCTGCTTCACCTCCTTGCAGTCCTGGGGAACCCAACTCAGTAATATACACCATTACCAGTCCCAAAGATCCTAAGTGGGTTCGAGGACAGAGGGCCAGTATTCATATCGATGCCAAAGGATCCTGGGGGCATAATTCACATAATACAAATCCTTGTAGAAAAACCACAACCCCTGCAGGCAAGTCAGGACTCTGCCCCAATTCAATCCCTGGCCAAACAGGATTAGCCCAAGCAAACTCCATCATTCTTTTACCCCGACTCCATGCTCTACAACTAGCAAGTCTTACCCAGGCCTTCCTCCAATCCTTGGGATCATCCTTGGGCCAGGACTGCCCGCTCTGCCTGCCAATGAGAGAATGGGAATTTTCTGCACTGGGCCACATTGCCACACCACACAGCACAGACACCAGTTCTGTACCCTATGACTACACTGCATCCCATGTTATAGGGCCCACCACCTGTATAACCTTCAACACTGCCTAAGCAGCCTTACCCTAGGACTGTAATAACACCATCACTATCAACCGAACCACAAAAGCCATAAGAGCTCCCCACAGCACCCATTTTTTTTTCTTTTATGTTAACACTTTATTTAAACCAGTACAGGCACCATGCTTAACAAAAGACTGTCCAAAATAAACATGCAATATGAACTAGCAGAGACTGGAGCCACAGCTTAACAAGTTGTGCCAGTTGTTGGTTTTCTTAAACAATGACAGAGAACTGTTAAAATCCATAAGACTAAACCATTCTAGTTTCAAGCCTCCTGGATGAGATGATATTGGACCATATATATCGAGAGGAACTGGCCTGCCATGTCAGTGACCTTAAACAATACTCAAGTAAGCGCATGTGTATGAATCTTATTCCAAAGAGTGGGAAAACACAGTTTATATCACAAGCTTAATGGAGTTGTTTGAAACATGGCAGGAACACGATCACTGATTTGAAATGTCAAATGGTGTAAGAGGAAAACAAATTTCTCACCAATTTCCAACTTGGAACCATGGGTTTTAAAGTGGCTTAGAAGATTATTTACATATTTCCACAAATACAAAATAATATTTGACCTGAAGTGTTTGAAACACTTTTTCACATAAACTGTAAAGGCTCAAACTCTGTAGATTCCAGCATTATCAGTCTATTGAACAAACAGGGAAAGCAACCACTCTAAGAATGCTTCACTTGGTAGAATACAAGTTACCCTCTACTCCCAAATATCAGCATTTAAATGCTGATGAAAATATATTCATCACTAGTCCACATACGGATTAATGACATTACTTGGAGTTTAAAAGCAGTCCAACCATTTTTAAAGTACACCTTCCTTAATATCTATAATGGGTGGGGGGAAAACAGCCAAATTTAATTTGGCAATAAACTCCTCTAACCGTGAACTTTTCAAAGTGTCAGACCATGGTACAGTTTATGGCTACAACTGACTCCTAAAAATAGGAGCTAAAGCGAGGTGAAAGTGCTGATGTTTTTGCCACACAGATTATTTGATGATGGCAATACAAATTTTAGGAACACCCTCCTATTGGATGATGACCATACAAATTTTAGGAACACCTAGTGCAGTATGTATAACTGCACTAGGCATCTAGCCATCTTTTCAGAAAGAGAATTCAAACCTTTACTTTAGAAGATAAGCAATCAAAAGTCAGTCAACCAACTTTTTTCCTAACATAATTGCTTCAGTACCAGAGCAAAGTGATTACTATTCAAAACTCAGACATTTGGGATTTCAGCATAGTGACCTGAGAACAGTTTTCTTCATATGTCATTTATGTTGCCACAAAAACCACACTAAATGCATACTGGGATTACTGATTGGCTCTATTTTGACATTAGATGCTACACAGAACTTCAAGACCAACAATCTCAATACTAACACTGACTTCAAAGACCATGAAGGAGGTGCCCAGGGAAAAAGCTGCTGCGCAAAAGGAACGATTAGGATTTAGGGCTGAATGGCAATGGTTGTGCCAGAAAATATGGAATGTAAAAACTGGAATTATGAAATCTGAAGTTCCTCTCTGTCCTTAATGTGTTGTCCAATGTGGAAGGAATTTTACACTTTATGTTCTGTGTGGGTACAAACTGATGAAATCTTTACTTAATATATACTAAATCGATCTTCTGTATATAAAGATAATTGAAAATGAATCTTGATGTGAATGGAATGGGAGAGGGAGCGGGAGATGGGAGGGGTGTGGATGGGAGGGAAGTTATGGGGGGGGCATTGTAATCCATAAACTGTACTTGGAAAATTATATTTACTAAATTAAGTTAAAAAAAATTCCTTCCAGAAAAAAAAAAAAAAGCAATACGAAGTTACTCCTGATTCAAGGGAAAAAATACTAAATAGCAAATTAACTTGAAAAGGATAATGTAAAATATACTTAGATAGAAGAAAGTTTACATAAATGAGGATATTTTAGAGCACAGGATTTATAAACTCTTGCCATAGGACAGATGGAATAAAAAGCTATACCGATCCCCTAACCTCAATGTGACGTGTTGCAGAATACATGTCATTGATGAGAAGTCAAACAAGGCAAAAAAAAGGGGGGGCGGATTTCACACAGCTCTCTGCTCCTGTGGACAACAGAAACCAAGAGTTGTGTGTGTGGCGGTCAGTGTCATCTGACATCAAGGAGGGCTTCCAAATTGGAAAAACCAAATTAAAAACCTTAACACAAGACCAATGAAGGAACCTCATTTTAAAAATATATTCTTGCAGCATTAGTTTGTCTTATTGATGTGAACCAAATGAAACAAAGTCTCATTTCCTTCCTTCAAAAACAAATACTCTCAGCTCAATTGGTTACATTTGCATTTCTGCAGAATGATAAACAAGTTATTCTCCAACATCAAATACCTCTTTCAAGAATTCCTCAACTTCCTGGGTGAAGATTTTTCTCTCTCAAATTGGAATGAAGAATCCTTTCCATTCATTAACCAAATACCTACTCTAGCACTTCCTCATCTCCAACTGACTTGGATTGCTTCCTGAATCCCAGATTAGGGAAGCCAGCCTGTCTAGAAGAGAAGATGTTCTATTCAGTATCGGCAAATTCTCTACTATCGTTACCATTTTATTAAAGTTTGTGCAGAAACCTCAAAAATGAAATGCAAAGAAATGTAGTGGGAAATATGACAACATAAGAATGCCTTGGCTAGTTCTGAAATGACTAAGATAGTCTTAATATAAGAATTCACTCACCAAAATATGGTTGGTCTCTAGCTCTCCAGATCTTGTATTAAGTTAGCATTAAACAATTGCTTATAGGTTTGTTTTTAAAGTGTGCTATACAGGCTACACCGGCACCCCGGGTTCTAGTCCCGGTCAGGGTGCCAGATTCTGTCCCGGTTTGCTCCTCTTCAGTCCAGCTCTCTGCTATGGCCCAGGAGTGCAGTGGAGGATGGCCCAAGTCCTTGGGCCCTGCACCCACATGGGAGACCAGGAGGAAGCACCTGGCTCCTGGTTTCCGATCAGCGCGGTTGCACCGGCCACGCAGCCAGTGGGGGGTGAACCAATGGAAAAGGAAGACATTTCCCTCTGTCTCTCTCTCTTACTGTCCACTCTACCTGTCAAAAATAAAAATAAAAATAAAAAATAAAGTGTGCTATACATTAGCATCCTGATTTATGCCAAGGATACCATCATCTAACAAGACTGGTTAGTTAACTACTCATGCATCCAGTTTAGATTATCTTCTGACATTCAGGATATAAGATGTGTTTTCTACTGATACGTTAATAACCTTTACTCACTACAGCCAAAATTTTATAAGTATTCTTTTCTATGGCACAAAACTATTCACAAATATACCCAAATCGTAACTCTCAACAACTATATACTCACTAATGCAAGCAGATAGTTGGAATTTTAAAATATGAAGTTGATGTTACTACAAATTTTAGATACACATATTAGAACATTGTTTACTTGGACCCTTTAAAAACGTATTAATTTCAGCAAATTTGGAATAATGGCAGTGTAGAAGTCTTAAACTAACTTCAAAGCTAACAAATCAAAGGCACAGTATTAACACACTTAAAATCACTGGTGTTCACAGGACATTAGGAGACGCTTATAAATAAAGTGCTACGAACCTAGGTTTGAAACTCTCTAGAAGTAACATAGTCAGGAATGGAGCCCTTGATTAGTACAACCACCAGTTGCTAAAACTAAGATCTATTTTATACAAGAAAACCCAATACTCATGTAATTCTATCATAAAATCTAACTTCCAAACCTTAAGAATGACTGATGAGGGGCTGCCACTGTGGTGCAGCAGGTTGACGTCCTCGCCTAAAGCATCGGCATCCCATATGGGCACCGGTTCGAGCCCCAGCTGCTCCTCTTCCCATCCAGCTCTCTGCTAGGGCCTGGGAAAGCAGTAGAAGATGGCCCAAGTCCTTGGGCCCCTGCATTCATGTGGGAGACCTGGAAGAAGCTCCTGGCTCATATATCTGCCTCTTCTCTCTCTGTAACTCTGACTTTCAAATAAATAAATAAATCTAAAACAACAAAGGAATGACTGATGAACAGAGTTTCCAGAGCTGAGTGAAAACAAGCAGGAAACCAAGGAGGTATGGAATTGAGAAAAAAGTGTCCTTGTAACACAGATTATGCTACAGGAAATTATTATTCATGGCTCAAAATTTGGGTCTCTCAAAGCTTTCACTCCAAATTCACGGAAATGATTTAACAAGTGATAATATGCTATTTTCACTTATAAACTGCTCATTTCCAGGATTTGTCAAAAGGAGGCAACTGTTGTCTATCACAGTCCAAGAACCTACTTTCCAATGCTCTCTGTAAATAGTAACAAATCCTAAACCATAAGTTATAGAATTAATCACAAGAGTGTAAAAAGCCCCTGGAGGAAAGTAGTCCACCTAACAATTACAAATTGTTAAGGAACGCTTTAGGAAGTTTCATTACGATGAAGATGATTTCCTCTTGTTGTTCAAACTTCGCACACATGAAGACGTTTTCTTTACTGCAGGAAACATACTGTAAGTAACAATGCATTTTTAGGCATAAATAAGTATTTATGTCTGGTTCCAGTATGGTCAGGTTAATATATAAATACTTTGGAAAACACAGAAGTTCACATTAGCGGAAAAAT